TGTGTGTGTGTGTTTTTGTTTTTTTTTGTGTTTGTGTGTGTGTGTGTGTGTGCGTGTGTGTTTTTTTTGGGGTTTTTGTTGTGTGTGTGTGTGTTTTTTTGCTTTTGTCCCCCCATTCTCCGGGCACTCCTCAGGTCATCGTCCGCGCGCCTCGGACTGAGCTGTTCCCGCCTCATCGAACTTGTTTCGCTGGCCAGCCTCAGTCTCCACTTCACTTCTTCCTTTTGTCTTAAGCGTCTGTCTGGGCATTCGCCCCTGCCTTTGGACTGAGCCTTTTCGCTGCGCCTGGTAAAGCTCGCTTTGCTGGCCAGCCTCAGTCTCCCACGTCGCGCCCTAGTTTCTGGTTCTAAAGCCTCTTCATTGCAATGATATACTGCTGTTCACCTCGGACTCTCTGGGCGCCTGCCTTTGGACTGAGCCTTTTCGCTGCGCCTGGCAAACCTTGCTTTGCTGGCCAGCCTCAGTTCCTGTGTCGCGCCGTGTAGGCCCAGTTTCTCGTTCTCCAACCTCTTCAGCGCCAAACTCCCTACTCGTGCTGCAAGGCAATAACAAAGTGAGGTGCTGCTGTTCACTTCCAACTCTCTGAACATCCGCCCCTGCCTTTGGGCTGAGCCTTTTCGCTGCGCTTTGCTGGCCAGCCTCACAGTCTCCCTTGGCCCAGTTTCTCCAGGCTTTTTCGCCGCCTTGGCTGGCTCAAGTGAGTGCTGCAGTTCACCTCGGACTTTCTGGGCATTCGGCCCTGCCTTTGGACTGAGCCTTTAAGCTCGCTTTGCTGGCGGGCCTCAGTCCTCCCCCCTCCCCTTTCTCTGCCCCTCCTGCTGCCCTCTTCTGGCGCAGACTAGCCTTCTCGCCTCCAAACCCCTTATCTGGGCCACTTCTGCGTTTTTTGTAGTGAGGCTTGCCCGCTCTATGCCTTTACCGAGGTTAGTGTGCCAGCGGGAGTCTTTTGCGTGGCTCTCTGCGGACCAAGGTTGTGTCAAGACCACCCTCTTTCCCAGTGCCTTCGAACATCAGGGTTCCCTGCACCTGTGTCCCGATATTTCCTGCGCCTTTGGCCGCTGCTGGTGCAAGGCAATCAGGCTCAAGTAGCTGCGTCACGTTGGCCAGTGCTCCCAGCCTGGCGTTGGCTCGTTCCCCTTCGGGGCTGGGGCAATCTCTCACCGACGTGCCCGAAGCAGCGCAGTCGCCAACAAGCCCTCACGCGCACCGCGGGCCAACACTTCTCGGCGCCTTTCTCATCGCCTTATGGTTGCTAGGAAAGCCTGCAGTCCTGGGCGACCGGTCCAGCGCAGGGCTTCCTTCCTCGTAGGGTGGCGGAATCAACCAACCTTCCCTTGACCCCGCACTGTACTCCCGGTGCATCTTCGCCAGCCGCTGGAGGCGGCACTAAGGCAGCTTCTCCCTGCTGCCGAAGAGCACCTCCTCCCTTCCTGCTTGCTGCCCCGTGGGGTGACAGTACCTTGCTCCCGGAAGGCGAGTGTGCACCTGGACGCCGGCGTGCGTAGCTGGTGGCGCTGTCTGGGCATTCGCCCCTGCCTTTGGACTGAGCCTTTTCGCTGCGCCTGGTAAAGCTCGCTTTGCTGGCCAGCCTCAGTCTCCCACGTCGCACCCTAGTTTCTGGTTCTAGAGCCTCTTCATTGCCATGAAATACT